GTGACAATGGCAGGTTGGACAGTAAGCCTCCCAGTAGTCTGCCCTTCGATGTCCGCGTACCGAATGCCATTGCGGTAGCCGTGGTCGTGGGTGATAGAAGGACAAACCTGGACTGCAAGTGTGACCGCTGGATGAGCAAAGTTCACATGCTAAAACACTGGGGCAACAAGCAGAAGCTGACCGTCTACGCTAAATATGCCGCCAAGGATACCGAGTACAGCCGTCTACTGGAGTACGCGCTAGCCATGTAAATGCCAACAACCGTCGTCCGTTTCCACCCACTGTATCATGTGCCACTTAAATGGAGCAAGCGTTATCGGCAACTTAACTATATTTTTATACGACATTCAATGCTCTCTGACGCTGCTCTCAATCCCATCCCAACATAAATTTTTATGGCACAGTGTTCATTCAAAAAACATGTATACATGTGTTTCCTTCCCAGATCTCAAACTCCCAGCGGTCACCTGACGACTTGATCTCTGTAATTTACCAAAACCAGAACTGCTGCTGTCCCCATCGGTGTCATCCCCTCCTCGGCCGCACGTGTCCACCTGACTTCTTGTTATCGATGACCGACGCTTTACTATGTTATTACTTCTCAAACACGTGTGCAAAATTTATCAGTTTCTCTTTCCATCTGTGCGTTGGCTTCCTTTTTAAACTATCTCTCAATTTTGAAACAGAGCGTTCAACCTCGGGTCCGAATGCGGCTCTCGTTTTAATAACGATCAAACGTTGACCTACCTCGTTATCTCTTCAGTTAACGCAACCAAGCGCGCGTCTGTTTTGCACCATCTACCCTCTCTAGGAATTGGGTCCTCGTGTGAAGCATGATTTTTGTATCAACAGCATTTTAGGCCTGCGTGCTTTTGGCTGCAGTTACACGCCTCTAAAATAAAACTAAATTATCTGTAAATCTAGTTAATCGATCTGAAGTTTAAAACGCTAGAGGAACAGCCTACTCGCCAAAACTACCCGGGTGTCTTACACGGTCATCTCGGGCAGAAAGGGGGACGTTGGTAAGCTCATATTCCCACCTGATATGCTTATTGCAAATAATGGATGCTTGTTTTCTCACGCAGGTATTGAGACAGTATAGGGAGTTCCTTCTAAGCTAGCTTAGCAAATTTTCAGAGTAATATGCGCGCCTATTGAGCAGAAGCCGTGCCCATCTATTACTCTCTAGGTAAAACAAACTCCAAATAGACAAAATGCTACAAGGGTAGTCCCATCGTCCTTACATATGGAAAACCCAACAAAGACGTTAAAACA